CAGATGCTGATACAGATACATTAGTTTTTTTTTTCTTTTATTGAATTCAAATTTTTAAGGTCACAATTGGTGAGAGATGGTGATATTACACACACAGAATGGGGAAAAACTGGGAAAGATGAATAAGAATATTCATTTGGGTTTCCAAATATAACGTCAGAAAAAAAAATCACAGATCTGGATAACAACTCGATGGATATTAAAACCTCATGTGGGTACCTGGAGGGTTCATGTTTCCAATTCTGGGCTATGTGAAATTAATCCAAAATATTGAGCCAAAATAACTTGCTTGTTGGTATATAAATGTAATAGAAGACAAAAATTTCCTGTACTCAGAGACTCTAGGTTTACCTCCACTGACGTTTGCCAATTGTAATTTAAGTGCTTTGGCAGCTGGCATAGGAATCTAAAGAAACATTTTTAGTTCAAGCATGAGGAAGTCAGGATACTTAATGTAATTAGCATTCTTAAGTCTTGTAAAATTTTGCCACACATCTCTCATATATTCCACACATGCCACACAGATTTAAATGATGCTTCTTTTTCATGTTTCAGGAGCTTAGAGACAGAACCCTTGACTTTATGGGCAAGTGAGATGCTGTGAATGTTTACCCACTAAGAACACAGAAATGATATCAGGGGGATCATAATAACTTTGAGAGACATGAACAGTATGAAACAAAAATCAGCAATGCTAAAAGTTGGGAGCCAATCAGATAGAATTCTGAAATATTATATGATACTCAATCAGAAAGTTCAATGTGATTTGAGACTATTTAAGCAATAGAATTATATAAGAAACAAGAGCAAAATTGTGGGGAACATTCCCGTGTGAGACCCCTAAAAGGCGTGAGTCTCACTATACGGTGAGTTTGATCCCAAACACAGTTTCCTACTGGAGGCAGTTGAGCTATCCGGAAATATAGGAACTGAAAGATGAATGATCAATTTCTAATATCAACCACAATATCGTTTTGGGCCTAAAATTATGCGTTGCTGCTAGACTGAGTGACCCCCTGCCGGCAACCAGTTCTTGCTTTTAACCTTTTTATGACCCTTTAAGAATAAGTTCGTTTTTTTTTTTTTTTTTTTTTGAGACGGAGTTTCGCTCTTGTTACCCAGGCTGGAGTGCAATGGCGCGATCTCGGCTCACCGCAACCTCCGACTCCTGGGCTCAGGCAATTCTCCTGCCTCAGCCTCCTGAGTAGCTGGGATTACAGGCATGCACCACCACGCCCAGCTAGTTTTTTTGTATTTTTAGTAGAGACGGGGTTTCACCATGTTGACCAGGATGGTCTTGATCTTTTGACCTCGTGATCCACCCGCCTCGGCCTCCCAAAGTGCTGGGATTACAGGCTTGAGCCACCGCGCCCGGCAAGAATAAGTTTTAACCTTACCTAACTGCCTTGTACCCTAGATAATGGTTTAACTGTCGATATTTGCAAAGCAAAATGCCACCATAAGGGATGGCTTTGATTCCTGACTCAGAGATTCCTGAATGGGGAAGTTGAGTTAAGTTGAGTCAGGAGTAGACAAAAGAGAATATGATTAAAAGATATTCTGATGAGCAAAACCAAAAAACCTTTTCACATCTCAGTTCTAAAACAAGGTCAAACCAGAGATACCTGCAGCCAGGAGGAATAAAGTTTGGATGTAAACAAGCTTTGTGAATAATGTTTGGATGCAAACAAACTTTGTGATTGTAGGAAATTGTTACTTTTTACAACCATTGATTGTGTATCTGACTTCTCTATTGTATAGGCCATGTGAGGCATACATTTGCATTTCCTCTTACTATGATGTAAACCAGAGCCAAGAAAGTGTATTTATTCCTGGCCTTTGAAAAATAAAATTTGTTGTTTAGGCACAGCCTATCAGCCCTCCAGACGCCTCGCTTTCTCTCTGTCTTTATTATTTTTCCAGGCGCACTCCCTCTTCCAGGTATTGGGACCCTCTTGCAGGTCGAGAGACCCCCGGGCAGACGTGCCTACCCATCCCGGATGGTCCACGATACAAAATAGGATGCCCTAACCTGGAATATTGGACCTCAGGACTGAAAAATAAAAATAAAAAAACAACAACTGGAGGGAGTCTAGTCCAGAAAAGATTATCTACAGTGATGGTTTTAAAGCAAAATATGAACTTTATCATGTAGCCAAACCACAGAGTCAGACCCAAGGGGCATGATAAAAATCTACAAATAGCTTTGGGGTCTAAACACCAAGGATAAAGAGGAATTTTGGCTGGAGATATGAAAAGCTTCAAGGGATAAAGTTAAGGAAAAGGAAATTTACATTAGGCATCAGAATATATCCTTTGATAGTAAGATATGTGTGTTTGTAGAACTGTCTCTCAAGGGAATAGAAAGAATACTGATGAATTTTCTAGGATCCCTGATAAGAGGATAGCTTGATGTCAGTCCAAGGATTCTAGAAGTTTTATTGGAATATTCTTGTGTCATGACCAGATGGAATGGATAGCATAAGATGTTTTTTAAATCCTAGATTTCTGCAATTATCATGGGGAATGAACAGTGAACAGAATGTTCTGCTCTTTAATAAAAGGTATCCCACATCTTTGATTAAGTTTGTCTCTGAGGAAAAAATTAACAAATATAGGGACCATTTTTTAACACCAAATGCCCTAATAGAGAAGCAAAGCAAAGTCTTAGAAACCTGTTTTTAAAAGTATATACGTTAAAACCATTTATTTCTTGATTACCAATTATATTGCTTCTGAAGCTAGCTGATGAATTGTTAGAATAATTCCAGGAAACAATGTAACAAAATGAGCCATTCTTTGAAATTGGTAACCAAAACCTAAGGATCTTCCTTAACTGAATTTGGCATAACCTGACAGTTGATCATAAAGGCCAATGTGAGTTGAGTCTACATAAGCAAAGAGAATATATAACAAACAAGAGTTAGATAAGATGCTTTCAATAGGAATGAATGAATCCACCATAAGCCACCAAGACTGCAAGGTAAACCTAATAGCAGTCAGGTTGAAAATCAAAATACTTTTAAAAATTAAAAAGAAATCCCAAATAAGTCTTATGAAGTCTTTCTTTCCAGCAAAACATCGACATTGCCTACCCCATGTATTAAAAGCACACATAGTTACACTGAGATTTTAAAAGGACCCCCAGTCTAATTTGATTAATATTTAAAACAATTTATTCACTGTTCCCAACAGTGACACAAGTTTCCAGTTTCCTGGAGGGTCAGGAACATTTGGAAACTAGATGATGAATTAACTGGCATGTGTCTGCTCCAAGCCCTATGAGTGCCAATAGAAGAATCCCGCCACTGATCAGCTCTCCAACACCCACGACCAAGAATGTATGCCCTTGTGCCTGGAAGGCATTCATACTAGCCTATCTAGTCATAGCAGGGGTGAGTTTGCTAGCCCATGGTCATCATATGGGCTTAGAGAAATAGAACTTATATGAATCATCAAATACAATCACCAAGGTGCTAAAACCCCTTGAGTTACAACTGGTTCTGTGAAGTGATTCTGTTAACCATCTACCCTGAATGCCAAACTCCAATGAGGCATAACCATGCAATGAGGCATAACCATGCAATGGTATCCCAGTGGTAGAGACATTAAGTGTTTCCATTACTAGTGATAAGTTACACAGTTTTGTTACTAAAGAAGGGGCAGACAAGATCCACCCACTTTTACATCTAATGTGACTTGTATGAGGAGAGAAGAAAGCCAATGCCAACAAGCCCCCAAATGTAACTTGGCCTGTGTATGTAGTCAGGCAGGGGAGCAAGAGCTCTTTAAGGCTGTGCCTCTCAGCAGCGCACCTGATTGACAGCCACTGAAAATACTTAAGAGGCTCAGGGTGAGAAGAGATGGACAGCGATGGGGGATGGGAAACCAGAATCACCCACTGTCTTCAGGCAGCAGATAGCTCGTTAAAGCTACTGGAAAAAACTCACCGGGTGCAGTCTGTCCCGCTGCGTTTACCAAAAAGGAGTACAGCCAAGAACTGGGAGTCTGACGCCCTTTGTGGAGGCATAGAATTCTCCTGATTAGATTTCATGACACACCTCCAAAGTAGCTGAACACCTAGGAACACCAAACATGGTTTTCAAAGAGTCAAAGTTAATTAACTCTTCCCCTGAAAATGTCATAGGGAATAAAGGAAGTCTTCTAAAATCAAACTCGGACAATTGTGGTAGATATGCAAGACAAACGTTAGTGTCAAACACCTGTATTTATAATTTCATTGTAATTTTTCCTCCAAAATAAAAGAAATGGTAAAGGAAAGTCACCTTTATATTTGTATAAAATTTTCTTCATCACTAAGTGATAAAAAAGGACACAAACACAAAGTAGACGTTTTCAACATTATCTGCTCCCTGCTGAGATGGTTGTAAGATGCATGGCAAAGCTTAAATGTTACGTCAAAAAGCCCTCCAAGACGAGGGCGAGGCTTTGCGCTTTATAGATTCCAGGGGTCCAGCAGCGGGAGAAGCTGCTCTCAGTCTCAGCTCCTTGCCAGAAAGATTGATTTCATCAGCGTTCTCCAGCTTCCCAGGACTGTGGCCACTGAGTGCTGCGCCCAGAGGCGTCCCAGAGCGGGACTTAGAGACAGATTGCTTTGTGAGCGCCAATCTCTGTAGTCTCAGGGCTGAAGCTGCGCCGGGCGCCTACCCCTTGCCCGGCCTCACTCACCCTTCCTCCTAGAGCACGTTTCCGCACGTGCTCAGGATCCCTTCCACAGCGAGGACTCCTCCCCCTCCACTTTCTTAGTAGGTCTCCATCTCCAGTTCATTCATTGGCAGCCACTGCTTTTAGACTGAGTCTCCTATCTATCCTTCCTTTTTAAAAACAAAAGAAGCCGGGCGAGGGGCGGTGGGGGTGCGGGGAGGAAAGGCAGGATATTTAACTCCGACTTCAGAGCAACCGTGCCGGGCTGCCCATCTGACACCAGTGGGTGGGGTGCAATCTGACACTTCCCTTCCTTTCCAGAAACGTGAGTGGAGCTGGCGCGACCCTTGATCTGGGGGTGGGAAGAGCGAGTAGAAGGTCCGCACTTCCGTCCTCACGACTTTCTCCCCAGGAGACCCAATATCAGTGGCAAGCTGCCTTCTCTCCGTGCCGTTGGCAGGTTTGGCGCCTGGAAAACTCTTCACGTTCTGCTTTCTCCTGCTCCTGGCTCCGCCCCAGCTCCAGCCCCGGCATTCCTCCAGCCCTACCCGTCCCGGCCGCCCCTTTCCCACTGCCTCTAGCGCTAGCGTGCGGGGCATCTCCGCGTTTGCCCTGGGCCCAAGGCTGGGCTGCGAAGATCATGTTCCTCTCGGGCGGAACACGCGCACTCCGTCTTGGGGCTCTCTCCTGAGCTCCCTACTCCACCGAGAGCGCTGAGCGCAGCCGGGAATTCTCTTCCACCGTGGGCACGCAGCCTTTGGAGGTCCTGAGCGCAGCACTCGGTGTCGTCACACCGCGGTAAGACTGAGACACCGCGGGAACCTTGAGCTTGAAACCACCCTTGAGCCTCTCCAGTCGGAAGAGTACGCGCAGCAGCCCAGCAGAGGCCAGGCGCGTAACCTCGGGCGCCGGGGCACGGAGAGGGTGCTGGGTTCAGGAGCCGGAGGAAGTTCTCGCGGCACCGGGAGCGCGGTGGACGCGCCGGGGCGCACTCCCAGGCCGCCTCCTCCGTGGCCCTCGGGATTGTTCTCGGGCAGCAAGGAGGAGCTTGCTGGAGACTTCGAGGCTGTCCGGAGCCAGCAAGCAGGAGCGCCGCGTCTTTTGCCTTAGCTGGGAAGGGGGAGTGGCGCTGGCAGGCTGGAGTTGCGAACCCAGCGAGCGCCTGACCTTCCTCTTCTTCCTGACACTCTTAGCGTCTTGGGCTCCAGAGGAAGGTTGTAGGGGCTGCAGGAGGCCCCCAGACCCATTTTCCTAGAAGGCTGATGATGGATCTGCTGCTTCTGTCCTCGCCGGGGCATATGGAACGCGTCGGCGGTGCTTGAGCCAGGCTTTGGTCACCACCGCCCCGGACAAACCCCCACGGCCAGCCCCGCCTGGCAGCTTTGCCTGAGTCCCTTTGCGTTCGGGACCCAAAGCCACCAGCGTCCTTCTCAGGGAGAAGGTGGTTCTCAGGCGCAGCTCCGCCGCGATGTCCGGGCAGAGCCTGCTACACAGCGTCTTCTCTTGCTCCTCTCCTGCCTCAAGTAGTGCGGCCTCGGCCAAGGGCTTTTCTAAGAGGAAGCTGCGCCAGACCCGCAGCCTGGACCCAGCCCTGATCGGCGGCTGCGGGGGTGGCGAGGCGGGCGCGGAGGGCGGTGCGCGAGGGGCCACGGCGGGCCGCCTCTACTCCCCATCACTCCCAGCCGAGGGTCTCGGCCCTCGCTTGGCGTCCTCTCCCCGGGGTCCGCCCCCCAGGGCCACCCGGCTACCGCCTCCTGGACCCCTTTGCTCGTCCTTCTCCACACCCAGCACCCCGCAGGAGAAGTCACCATCAGGCAGCTTCCACTTTGACTATGAGGTTCCCCTGGGTCGCGGCGGCCTCAAGAAGAGTATGGCCTGGGACCTGCCTTCTGTCCTGGCTGGGCCAGCCAGTAGCCGAAGTGCTTCGAGCATCCTCTGTTCCTCCGGGGGAGGCCCCAATGGCATCTTCACTTCTCCTAGGAGGTGGCTACAGCAGAGGAAGTTCCAGTCCCCACCTGACAGTCGAGGCCACCCCTACGTCGTGTGGAAGTCTGAGGTAAGGACCGGTGCTGCGCGTCCCAGGGCCCAAGGCTGGGCATCCCAGGCAGTTCCAGGGGACCACCTTTAATTCCATTACATTTACAGAGCGAGGCACCCACTAAGGGGTTTCCCTCTTCTGCTTGCTAAATGGTGCCTAGAAATGGGGCGTCCCTAGTGGCCACCTGCGTGTGTGTCTTGCAGGACTTGTTGGCTCCACTTTGGAGCAGTCGTGGGATCTGGAAAAGTAGATGGTGTTCAGGTTTCCTGTTTGTGCTGCAGGCAATTTCAAAGGGTCACCTTATCCCTTCACCCAATGTTGATATTTTTCCAAACTCAAAGGATCTATTGCTAAGTTGTTTGTAAAGACTGGATGAAGTATATTTTGAAATATGTTTGCCATCTTGTTCTATAGAGAATTCAGAAACATTATTTTGGAGAGTGTCTTGATTGTATGAGTGTGTGTGTGTGTGTGTGTGTGTGTGTGTGTGTGTTTGGGTGGCAGAGAGGATGCGACTTCTCTAGTTTTCACCTTTTCTTTCCCTAAAGGGGCAATTCCAGAAATCTATCGTACTGAGTAGTAGTTTAACCTATGAGAAGAGGAAGAAAATCACTGTGTAGGGGTGTGAAAGATCATGGAAATATGTTGATGCCTAAATCGCATTAAGAACAATTAGTAGTTTTGTGAAGAATCAACAATACATAGGGAACTCAGAGGGAGCTATCTGATACCTTTAAAATGTTTGCTGTCCAGTTAGGAAGAATGGTAAATTGAGCTATTGGGAAACTGTCACTGATGGCCACTTTGAAAACAGCACACTTTCAGAGAATAAATAGTAGTTGTTTTAAAAATGAACAGGCTCTATCCCTTTCACTCCACAAACTCTACAGATTTGCCTTTGATCTGTTTCCATAAAGGAAGGGAGATTCCATCAGTTGTAATTTAATATTTTTAAGTACAGTTAGCATTACAGAAATGAAATGAAATACCATGTAATTGCTGGAAATTTAGGCTAAATACACAACCAAGAAAAACTGTTTGAAAATAGCATATGAGATCATACTCAGCTGTGTTAATGTGAGATAACTGTTAGACTTTGGCTTTAATAGGCTGTCTTAGAGAAATAAGCATCATTTATCAGAATTATTAGCATCACATATTATTAATATTAGTTACTGTGTCAAAGTAACTGATGCTGTTATGTGTTGGGGTGCAGATTACAAACAACTAACAAATACTGCCAAGTCTTCTGCCCATTTTCTTGAGAAAGGCAGTAGAAAGGAAAGTCGAGGCAGAGGGCAAGATGTTACCTGCAAACCAGGGAACTCAAGATTAGAAAGAGGATCAAAAATTGAAATGTTGAATTTCTGTTGGTCTTTAGGAGGGGCTGGATTCCCACTGTATTTCAGAAGCAAACATTATCAGATTAATCTGTAGGAGTTGAGAGAAAGAAATGCAAAAGCAAGCCAACATTTTGGATTAGCTAGCCACTCACATTTGTGCTTAAAACCAATTGCATCACTAATAACGTTCCTGCTTTACTCAGCAACCATATACGTATTTGCAATATAGTATACAGATGCTGCTAATTGCTGTTATCCTCAAAAGGCATTTGGCTGTAGATGATTTCACCTGTTGCAAATTATATTCTTATCCATTAGCATCTCAATCAATGGACAAGGATCTGAACAGCAATACTGGGCGGCTTCTATTCCATACAGTGGGCAATCTGCACAAGACTCATCTACCATGTTTTTCACCTTTTTGCAATGATTAAAAGTAAGGATGTAGCCATCTAGCAAAAGAACAAAATGTTCTCATAGAATGTGTGTATGTGTGTGTGTGGTGGGAAGAGGGTGGAAATCCCTTTATGCTTGAGGCAGACATGGAGTGATTGGATAGAACTCTAGTGCGTAGATAGATCCAACCCTGGTTTTGTTTAGTAAAGGCCAAGATATCCTAACATAAGGCCTGGATCTCTAATTTAATGGCCTGGACTACCTTTGAAAGCTTTAACACCCTGGAATCCTCTCAAAAACCAAGAAAATGCATCTTATTGGGCACTGACTGTCCTTTTCACTTGCAGGGAAGCTGGGTCTTTGGTCCTTAAAGGAGAATCCTTACTAATGACGTCAAACGTCAGCAAATGAGCATCTTGCAAGGCTGCTTAGAGGCCCTGGAGGGAATATCTGGTTCATATAGATTTGGTTCTTAAACTTTTCTGGTTGCTCTGGCTCAGGGTTTCTCAGCCTTGGCACTACTGACACTTGAAGCTGAATGATTCTTTGCTATGTGGCTGTCCTGGGTTTTCAGGGTATTTAGCAGCATCCCTGGCCTCTTCCCACTAGATACTAGTAGTGCTCCTCCAGACCAGTGTGACAACGAACAATGTCTCTCGACACTACTGAGTATCCTCTGGAGGTCAAAATTGTCCTAGTTGAGAACCGCTGTGTTATTAAGGCTGAACATAGTACTCCATGCTGGCCATCAAGAGAGTGCTTACAAAAGTGTTTACAGCTGGTCTAAAGTTTTCCTGGGATCTTCATTTGATTCCAAAACCATGAGGATCCCTCTGGAATCATGTACCCTTTACAGTCTGTTCAAATTTTGTTTCTCTTCGATTGAATCCATAGGAAATCCTAAGAATTCACCTTCAGGTTTAGCCATTGACGGATCTCACCCATTTCCACTTTGTTCTTTCAGAATATTGTCTGCTTTTAACCTAAATTGTTCATACAACAGCCCCTGCTCCCAAGACGCTCACAAATGCCTGCAGCTGTAAGCACAGTACTCATCCTCCAAGGAGCCCGTGGGCATCACAACTGCAGAGAGTGAAAGCATATGGAATGTTTCCCAAGTGGAGTTTGGTGTGCCTGCAGCAGAGGATGTATCTTGCTGTGTGTAGGATAATAGTGTTCAACATGTAGGCTAGAGGTAATTACAAAGTCTTACTGTGCTCTTCTCAGGAGTTTGGACTCTATGTTGGTTCTTAACCTGGAGGCGACTTTGTCCCCAGGGCACATTTGGCAATGTCTGAAGACATTTTGGGATGTCACAAATGGAGGTGGTAGTGTATTAATTTTCTATCACTGCTGTAATGACCACAAACTTAATGGCTTAAAGCAGCGCAAATTTACTGTCTTACAGTTCTGGACCTCAGAAATCCCATCAGGTTTTACCAGGCTAACTTCAAGGTGTTGGCCTGTGTTCCTTCTGAAGGCTCTAGGATCTGTTGTTCCTTTTCTAGTGGCCCCCTTCATTCATTTTTAAAGCCATCCATGTTGCATCTCCTCAATTCTTCTTGTGCGGTCATTTCTCTCACTGACTCTTTTCAGGACTCTTGAGATGAGTCTCACCTGGATAATCCAGAATCTCATTATTTTAAAATCGGCTGATTAGTGACCTTTAATTCCACCTGAAACCCTAATTCCCCTTTGCTATGATGTATTCACATGTTTCAGGGATTGGGGCGTGGGCATTTTTGTTGGGACATTATTCTGCCTACCACAGGGGAGTTCCTACTGGCATCTTGCAGGGAGGCTGGGGTTGCTTCTAAATACCCTACAGTGTACAGCCCCACAAAGAATAATCATCTAGCAGTCAATGTTAAGAGTGTTGAGACTGAGAAACCCTGCTGTAGAGAGTGGGGGAAATTGGTGATTTTTAAGCATGAGGGTATAGCGTGATCAGATGTGTTTTAGAGGTAAACTGGTGTCTGGGGGAGCATGGATTGGAAGCATGAAAGAAGTGGAGGACAGATCCTCAGAGGAGATGGGCATGGGGAAATCATGCCAAGAATCCTGTAAACCACTGGTAGTTGGCATATAAACATAAAACTTTTATATTTCCCACATCTCCATGTTAGCAAATTGTTCTCTTGCACTGTTGATCTCCTGGAAAGCAGAACGGTTACTCATCTTTGAATTCTTAAAATCTGGCCCCTATACTCTGGGGGTTTTAGAGAGATCATCATAAAGACCAGTGGTTCTCACCCAGGAGAAAGTTTGTGTATTTGGCAATGCCTGGCATCATTTTTGATTGCCACAACTGGAGCAGGAGTGTGCTACTGGCATCTAGTGGATATTGGCTGAAGGTACTAAAAATACCGCAAAACACACACAATGGCCCCCACAAACAAATACTTATCTTGCATAAAATGTCAGTAGTGCTGAGGTTGAGCTGCCCTGTATACAAGACACTGAATTCTAGGTTTTGCTTTTCAGTACCATTTTTTCTCATGCTTGTGGCTTTATTCTTGGTCATTTTCTTCTTCTTACCTAGTATATGTCAACCAAGGCTTTGAAATTGGAAAAAATGACTTTCAAAAGGTATTGAGCATATGAAAAAATATGCAACGTCTAAACATATCTATTGGGAAGAATTGAATGGTAAATATATAATGATGGAGACTGGAATTAAATTTTAAAATGCAGCAGAGAGGAATATTGCATTAAAAATAGAGGCTCACTCATGCCACCAAAGAGAAAGTAATTAGAATAAGACAGCTTCAAAAATAGACAAAAAGCGTTTTGCGAGGATTTTTGTGTGAAATCGGTATAATGCTTTACGGTTTTTAAGTTAGAAAAAAAGTTATTCAAACTTTCACACACACTGTCTCTCAGGCTGTCTCTGCTAGAATTCCTTCTGAAGGCAATTTTTAATTTAAATGGAGAATACTCTGAAGATCGCTTCTCAGATGCCTTAGAATTGAGTTTTCACCAGCATTTTGGGATCTGAGGGTTGGAAAGAGCAAAGTTTAGACTCAGAAAGAACCTTGGGTTGCATATAGCTCCAAACGGCTTATTTTACAGTTGAAGAAAGGGACTGTAAAGCTTATGCCACTCAAACTCAGGCAAAGAGCCAAGGGCAGAACCACCCTGAAATTCTTCTTAACTCTCTATATAAACTGCCAAGCTTCTGGAAAACATAAGTGACCTTGACTACTTTTGTTCTCTGGTGAGCGCCTTAAACCTTGGCAATCTCTTTTCTATCCCCTTTACTTACGGAAACCATTCTCT